CCTAGCATTTACTTCTTTTACAACCCCGTCTATAAATATATTAAACAACCATGGTGACATTACACATCCCTGTCTAAGACCTACTTTTACGGGAAGTATTCCCTCTCTTCTACACACCCTAACCTGAGCCTCACTATCCTCATAAAAGCTCTTTACAGCATTTAGTAACTTACCACCTATTCCATAAACTTGCAACATCTGCCACATTGCTCCTCTATCCACTCTATCATATGCCTTTTCTAAATCCATAAATGAAATAAAAACTTCCTACCCTTTTTCTAAATACTGTTTTACATATATGCTTCAATGTAAACACTTGATCTAACACATCCCTACCCACTCTGAAGCCTCCTTGCTCATCTGCAATTCTACATTCTGTCTTACCTCTAATTCTTTCAATTATAACTTACCGTAAAACTTTTCCTGGTATACTCAGTAAACTTATTTTCCCCTATAATTTTTACAATCTCTTTTTGTCCCCTTTCCCTTTATATAAAGGGATATACATGCTCTCTGCCAATCCTAGGTACCTTCCCCTCTTTCATACATTTTTTTAAACAAAAGTACCAACCACTCCAACACTATATCCCCCCTGCTTTTAACATTTCTGTCATGATCCCATCAGTTCAGCTGCTTTACCCCATTCATTCTACGTAATGCCTCACGTACCTCCACCACACTTACATTCTGCTCTTTTCACTCCTAAAAAGATGGTATACCTCCCTGGCCAGTGCATGAAATTACCGCCTCCCTTTCTTCCCCAACATTTAAAAGTTCCTCAAAATATTCTCGCCAAACTACCTAATACCTCCCTCTCCCCATCTACTAACTCCCCTACTCTGTTTTTAATGGACCAAATCCATACTTTCCTAGGCTTTCTTAACTTGTTTAACTCACTCCAAAATTTTTTCTTATTTTCATTTAAAATTTCTTGACAGTGCCTCTCCACTCTTTTATCTGCTTCCTTTTGCACTCTCTCACCACTTTTTTCACCTTTCTTTTACTCTCCATATACTCTGCTCTTCTTTTAAAACACTTCTGCTTTGTAAAAACCTCTCGTAAGCTACCTTTTTCTCTTTTATCACACCCCTTTACTTTATCATTCCACCAATCACTCCTCTTTCCTCCTGCCCCCACCCTCCTATAAACCACAAACTTCTGCCCCACATTCTAAAACTGCATTTTTAAAAACTATTCCAACCCTCTTCAACCCCCCCACTACTCATCTTTGCACTTGCCCACCTTTCTGCCAATAGTCGCTTATATCTCCCGAACTTCCTCCTCCCTTGTTTATACAACTTTCACCTCCTCTTACTTGTTGTTGCCACCTTCCTCTTTTCCCATCTACCTCTTATTCTAACTGTAGCTACAACTAAATAATTTATCTGATATATCAGTTGCCCCTCTATAAACATGTACATCCCGGAGCCTACCCCTCAACCTTTTATCCACCAATACATAATCTAACAAACTACTTTATACGTGCTACATCATACCTTGTATATTTATTTATCCTCTTTTTCATAAAATATGTATTACTTATTACCAAATTTCTTTCTACACATAGCTTAATTAAAGGCTCCCCATTTACATTTACCTCTGGCACCCCAAATTTACCTACTACTCCCTCCATAACATTTTTACCCACTTTAGCATTGAAATCCCCAACCACCATTACTCTCACACTTGATTCAAAACTCCCCACGCATTCACTCAACATTTCCCAGAATCTCTCTCTCTCCTCTACACTTCTCTCTTCTCCAGGTGCATATACGCTTACTATAACCCACTTTTCACATCCAATCTTTATTTTACTCCACATAATCCTTGAATTTATGCATTTGTAGTCCCTCTTTTCCTGCCATAGCTTATCCTTCAACATTATTGCTACTCCTTCTTTAGCTCTAACTCTATTTGAAACCCCTGACCTAATCCCATTTATTCCTCTCCATTGAAACTCTCCCACCCCCTTCAGCTTTGTTTCACTTAAAGCCAGGACATCCAGTTTCTTCTCATTCATAACATCCACAATCATCTCTTTCTTATCATTTGCACAACATCCACGCACATTCAGACTTCCCACTTTGACAATTTTCTTCTTCTTATTCTTTTTAGTAATCTTTACAGGAAAAGGGGTTCCTAGCCCATTGTTCCCGGCATTTTAGTTGACTTTTACAACACGCATGGCTTACGGAGGAAAGATTCTTATTCCACTTCCCCATGGATATAAAAGGAAAAGTAATAAGACCAAGAACTATTAAGATAAAATCAAAGAAAACTCAGATGAGTGTGTATAAATAAACATGTACATGTATGTGTAGTGTGACCTAAGTGTAAGTAGAAGTAGCAAGACATGCCTGTAATCTTGCATATTTATGAGACAGACAAAAGACATCAGCAATCCTACCATCATGTAAAACAATTACAGGCTTTCGTTTTACACTCACTTGGCAGGACGGTAGTACCTCCCTGGGTGGTTGCTGTCTACCAACCTACTACCTTCAAATAATAATAATAATATAATATAATAATAATATAATATAATATAATATAATAAGAATAATATAATAAATTGTAGTATAAATGACTTGGTCAGCTACACATTGAGGGGTGCAAGTTAGTGTTACATAGATAACCTTTAAATTCCTTTTGCCTTATGAGAAAAAACGTCTTATCTGACAGCAGTTTGACACATCCATGGTAGTTTCTTCATGATCTGCCTGGATACCTGTGCAGTCTTATGCTGTCATTTTTAACGTAAAAGTCAAAGAAAACTGATATGACAGTACTCTGTCATGTCAGTTGGTTTAAAGTTAAGAAATGGAATGTAGAGTTGGAGCTCAACCCCCTTCCTTTACCCCACACTCATATAGGTCATCACACATACATCCACAAGTATGTATCTATGCTTTCAGCTACATATGCATACACATGTATGTATGTGTATACTTTAAGCTATATGTGCATACAAATGTATGAGGTGCTATCAAAAAGTTCCCAGACTCAAATTTTTGGGCACTTCCTGGGTGAAATATGACAGTGGCATATGTTATGTTGTGCAGTACACTCCTTTGTGAATTAGAGTGATGAGTTTCAGTGCGGTTGGTGATTCCATTGAAGTTAGACAGGCATTTATTTTCGTGCTGTTAATGCACTGTTGCATTTTTTCGTGTAACAATGAAATCTTCAAAAGAAAGCAAAGCACATGTGTGTGTGTGTGTGAAGTTATATTTCAAGCTTGATAAAATAGCTAGTGAAATTTACAAAATGCTTCAGCAAGCATTTGGCAAAGAAGCAATGGGTCAGACACAGTGTTCTGAATAGTTTTCTTGATTCAAAGCAGGACGAACATCAGTTGAGGATGATGAATACTTTGGTCATCAATAGCCGTCAAAAACAGATGCCAACATTCAGAAAGCAAAGCAGACTATTCAAGAAGATCGTTGTCAGAGTATCCAGGACATACAAGTGCTGTGAGAATTATGGGTCATGTCAAAGCATTTTTACTGAAAATTTGAACATGAGGTGAGTGGCTGCAAAATTTATGCCACACTTGCTGACTCAAGATCAAAAACACCATTGTTTTCTTGTCAAAAACAACATGGCAGTTGTTTCTTACCCTCACCCCTCCTTAGATTTAGCCCTGTGACTTCTTTCTCTTTCCTAAAATAACAATGCCACTCAAGTGGCAGCTACTTAACAACATGGAGAAGATTCAAGCAGAATCACAGACCATGCTAGATTCCATTAGGAAGGAAGAGTTCCAGAAATGTTTCAAGAACTAGCAGAGGCACTTGGATTATTGTAAAACCTTTGAGTACTTTGAGGGAGACAACTTCAGCTAGGTGATTGGGTAAGCCTATATATATTTTTTTTTTTGTGGCAGTCCAGGAACTTACTGATAGTACCTTGTATGATCCATGTTCAGTTGTATATGTATATACATATGTATATACATATCTGTATATCTAGTTTTCCATGTTCAGTTGTATATGTATATACATATGTATATACATATCTGTATATCTAGTTTAAACCACATATGCATATATATATTTGAATTTACTTTTGGCCACATACACATGTATGTATCTGCTTTCAGACATACACATGTATATATCTCTGCTTTTAGACAACTACACATGTATATATCTCTGCTTTCAGACACATACACATGGACACATGTGTATCTACTTTCGGCCACATATTCATATTAGTAAATCATTACTGGATACAATAATTGCAAATGCCAAAATTTCTGCATTTGAAGCTATTGAAATTGCAAATACAATAATTACTATTCCTCTGCACTATGTTAATCTTTATTTGTGTAAGCTTTTGCACTGTATCTCTTTACGTATTGTATCCTGATTCCCACTAGTTAACTCTAATACAGCTACACTGCTTTAAAAGATATATACTGTACTCCCTCACTTTTACTCTCTGTAATCAACTGTATTGAGTTGACACTTGTTTTTGATGTTCTCTGTTTCTTGTACTTTGAGTGGTAAGGGAAGACCCTCACAACTGCCAGCTGATGTTCAACAGAGAAGGAATCTCCGTAAATATGATGTGGGCACAAATAATTGATATGCTCGATAGTCATATTGGTGGATATCCCTGGAGCAGCTAGTAGCAACCAATCCTCCTAGGACAAAGTCAGTTTTGCAGCAGACTTAAAGACAGTTGGAAAAGCGGTGTTATCACAATGAGAGAGAGTTGGCTTTATTAATGTAAGGATTCCTGTGTTTCCCTGCCTGCTGGTACATCAAGGGATGTTCTGTTAGAATTGATTAGTTTGCTTGAACATAACCCAACTCTCTAACCTAATGTAAAATAACCTACATAGAGAAATTGTCTTCGATTTAAGGGTAAAATAAAACAAGGTTGTCTCTTAGGAGGGCAGGTTGATATTGAGGATTATCCCTGGCGCAGCTGATAGTAGGTAGGTGGGAAGTGTCAACCCATTGGTGTTGTGACCCGTGTGTGTCCTGTTGCAGTCCAATCCTGAGACAAGTGGCCAGCCGCAAAAGGAAAGACAAGAAGAGGCAACTTCTTTCTCCAGTTTGGCTGACCAGGTACTGCCCACCTCTAGGACACTTAGTTTTGGGCCTCCAATTTCCTAGAGACATGATATTGATAGCTTAGGTTGCATGCTGCCTGCTCACTTGCATGTGCGATACTTGTTGCTATTTTGTTTTAGTAATATATTTATTGCAAAAATTTGTCAGCCTTAAAGCCTTAAAAGGAGTGGTAGTTTAACAAATATTTTACAGCAGAAATATATTTAGTGTGAGATATGTTATAGTGAAAACTTTAGTTCCTACATTATATATAATACAGGAGGTCTAAATCTTATGAAAGAGTTACATTCTTGGTGTTCCAGCTTACAGATGAACTGATTGTAACTTGGAGCCAATTTTCTCAAAGAACGTACAGTAAAACCTCAAATTAATGGACCACTATTTAACAGATTTTGGAAACTATGGACAAAAATATGCCGGAAAAACGTTGGAATCATTAGACAAAGTGGAAAAAGTTATAGAGTCCTGATTTTGTCCATAGCAGTAGTGTCAGTAATGTACAGTGGTCTTCTGAATCAACGTACCAAATTTGATGATTCCAACATTTGTCCAGTATGAACCGGAGTGTCCTTGTATAGGACCTGTCTGTATTCATTGTTCCCAGAACCTTAGACCACCAACATCAGTTTATTGTCTGTTCTTGCTAATGGATACACTTATCATTCAGTCTCCAATTTTCACTGGATTTATGTTGTTTTATGTGACTATGTTAACACACTAAATGAAGTGCAATTAATAATGTCATCTTAAACAAGTGGTGGTTCCAAGAGGAAATGTGTGAGTCTCAGTATTAAGCAGAAACTTAAACTAATAAGAAAGGTTGAGTGTGGTGTCTCATTGGCACAGGTATGTGAGGAATATGATGCTAAGAAGCAATCATTGTCTGATATCTGTAGAAGCAAGGACAAGCTTACAGACTCTGCACCATGATAAATAGGTAAAATGAATAGTATACTGTTCATTTTATTTTCAATTCCTGTAAAGTACTGTACTGTTTTACAGGCTACAATATTTTTAGTGTTTGATAGTCTTCTGAATCAGTGGATCATATGCAAGGTGTGACAGTTATCCATCTGGCAAAGTTTTCATTTCCCTATTTTGTCCTGTAATGGGACCAAGCCTGCTGATTCTGAACTTTACCCATTTATGTTACAATCATGAAAAATTATTTTTATAAACACAAACATTAAAAATCAGGAACGTGACGGTAAGCTGTCCAATATACAAAAAGAGTTAGAAACAGAAATACAAATAGCTAGAGCTTCATTTAAGGTTATTAATATAATATTCAAGAGGTTGCTAGTAGACTTGCAGTAAATCAACCATTCAAATCATTATGAAGCTGTGTGTAGTCTGTGGTCAGTCAAACAAACGGGCTACCACATGGATAAATTGTCATTTTTGTGGAAATTGGTGTCACGCTCCTTGTGCAGATATCCCAGAACTAGCTACAAGCAGTATTAAAACAGAGAAGTGTTTTTGGGTATGCCCAATGAGGAAAATCTGTGGACTAAAATCACAAGGGTATAAAAGAGGATAACATCAAAGCTGCTTTCATAGAAAACCTGGAAGCTTTCTACAACAGATGGGAACATAAAAAGTCCGGGCTGAATGGTACTGCCCTTGATACTGGCCATGTAGTCACAAACTGTAAGGCTGGAGGTGATGTCCTGGTAGTCAGTAAATGTAGGGCTGATAGTGCTGTCCTGGGAGACAGTAATGGTGAAGCTGGAGGTGCTGTCCTGGGAGACAGTAATGGTGAAGCTGGAGATACTGTCCTGGAGACAGTAATGGTGAAGCTGGAGGTGCTGTCCTGGGAGACAGAAATGGTGAAGCTGGAGATACTGTCCTGGTAGACAGTAATGGTGAAGCTGGAGATTTTGTCCAGGTAGTCGGGAATTATACGCAGGAAGGAATACATATAAATGACCTCATAGAGGACAGGAGCCATAGTAGGGAAACAAGTGTAGTCAAAGATAAGATAAAACCAATATTGCAAACCAGAAATACCGCAGGAAATAGCAAACAAGAGGACTCCAATAGCAATAGTGAGGATAAATTCCCAAAAACAACTGGTGGGAGCTCCATTTTTGGGTGCTAAGGAGGATAGGAATAAGACAGGGAAACATGCACCAACAGGGAATACAGTCACAGAAACCCAAGGCAAACGGAAACCAAGCCTGTGCACATACTATGCACTTGGTATCTGCTGGCATGGGAAATCTGGAAAAACAGATGGGACATGCAACTATGACCACCCTAGAAAATGTCATGCCCATATGACAACAGGAAAATGCAAACTCCCTTCCTGTAAGCTTTTTCACCCTGAAATGTGTACCTCTTCAGTACAGGAAAGACTGTGCTATAACTTAAATTGCCAGGCATACCATCTAAAGGGGACAAAAAGATACAAAACATCCAGGCCATGGGAAAACCTGGGTAGCCACAGCCACTCAAGAGGGAGAGGTTTTTTAGTGCCAGGAAGGAAAAAAACTGGCAGGAAATGGCAGAAATCGTACACCAAATCCAGTCATTCCTGGAGTGGAACCACAGTCGATGGCCTCCACTCCAAACCAACAGATACAGATACTAATGCCGGAAAAAAAATCCCCCCCCAGTACCAACAATACCACCAGTCCGATAACATTCTTCTTTGCAAATATACAGGGTCTAAAGCCAGCAATAAACAACAAAATACCTTTCATCCGTGGACTGCTTGCAGAGGCAAAGGCAATGTTCGCGGCTTTCACTGAGACCCACATAAAGGATTCACTTGGACAACGAAAATGGATCCCAGGTTACAACCTATACAGATGTGACAGAGTGAACAGGCAAAAGGGGGGGTTGGCCTGTACATTGCAGAGTCACTTGTTTGCACAGAACTGCTTAATGCCTCAAATGACGTTTGTGGAAGTTTTAGCAGTAAAGGTCGAGAACCAAAACCTAGTCATTGTGGTAGTCTACAAGCCCCCGGATGCAACATCCCAGCAATTCCAGGAACAGCTGTTAAAAATTGACCACTGTCTGGAAAATCTTCCAGCTCCTGCACCCAACATCTTGCTCCTGGGGGATTTCAACTTAAGGCACCTAAAATGGAGGAATATAGCAAATAATATTGTTGCAGTAATAACACCAGGAGGCAGCTCTGATGAAAACTCACACTCACACGAGCTTTTAAAATCTCTGCACAAAATTCAATTTAAACCAGCAAATAATAGAGCCTACTAGACTGGAGAATACACTAGACCTCATCTTCACTAACAATGATGATCTGATAAGAAATGTCACCATATCAAAAAAATATACTCAGATCACAACATAATTGAGGTTCAGACATGTATGCGTGGAGCCTCAGACCGACAAAATGAGACTAGTCACGAGGGAGCATTCACCAAATTCAACTTCAATAACAAAAACATAAAGTGGACCAAGTAAACCAAGTCCTAACCGATATAAGCTGGAAGATATACTAAGCAACACAGACCCAAACTTATCCCTAGAACAGATTAACTCGGTGGCACTCGATGTATGCACAAGGCTTATTCCTCTAAGAAAAAGGAGGAGTAGATGTAAAATAGAAAGAGACAGGCGCCCCCTTTACAGGCGACGGAAAAGAATAACAGAGCTGCTAAAAGAGGTCAATATATCAGAAATGCGCAGGGAGACACTGGTCAGAGAAATAGCAAGCATCGAACTTAAGCTAAAAGAATCCTTTAGGAGTCAGGAATCGCGGGAAGAACTAAAAGCCATAAATGAAATCGAAAGAAACCCAAGTATTTCTTCTCCTATGCCAAATCAAAATCGAGAACAACGTCCAGTATTGGGCCCCTACTTAAACAAGATGGGTCCTACACAGATGACAGCAAGGAAATGAGTGAGCTACTCAAGTCCCAATATGACTCAGTTTTTAGCAAGCCGCTAACCAGACTGAGAGTCGAAGATCAAAATGAATTTTTTATGAGAGAGCCACAAAAATTTGATTAACACAAGCCTATCCGATGTTATCCTGACGCCAAATGACTTCGAACAGGCGATAAATGACATGCCCATGCACTCTGCCCCAGGGCCAGACTCATGGAACTCTGTGTTCATCAAGAACTGCAAGAAGCCCCTATCACGAGCCTTTTCCATCCTATGGAGAGGGAGCATGGACACGGGGTCGTCCCTCAGTTACTAAAAACAACAGACATAGCCCCAAATCCACAAAGGGGGCAGTAAAGCAACAGCAAAGAACTACAGACCAATAGCACTAACATCCCATATCATAAAAATCTTTGAAAGGGTCCTAAGAAGCAAGATCACCACCCATCTAGAAACCCCTCAGTTACACAACCCAGGCAACATGGGTTTAGAACAGGTCGCTCCTGTCTGTCTCAACTACTGGATCACTACGACAAGGTCCTAAATGCACTAGAAGACAAAAAGAATGCAGATGTAATATATACAGACTTTGCAAAAGCCTTCGACAAGTGTGACCATGGCGTAATAGCGCACAAAATGCGCGCTAAAGGAATAACAGGAAAAGTTGGTCGATGGATCTATAATTTCCTCACTAACAGAACACAGAGAGTAGTCGTCAACAGAGTAAAGTCCGAGGCAGCTACGGTGAAAAGCTCTGTTCCACAAGGCACAGTACTAGCTCCCATCTTGTTCCTCATCCTCATATCCGACATAGACAAGGATGTCAGCCACAGCACCGTGTCTTCCTTTGCAGATGACACCCGAATCTGCATGACAGTGTCTTCCATTGCAGACACTGCAAGGCTCCAGGCGGACATCAACCAAATCTTTCAGTGGGCTGCAGAAAACAATATGAAGTTCAACGATGAGAAATTTCAATTACTCAGATATGGTAAACATGAGGAAATTAAATCTTCATCAGAGTACAAAACAAATTCTGGCCACAAAATAGAGCGAAACACCAACGTCAAAGACCTGGGAGTGATTATGTCGGAGGATCTCACCTTCAAGGACCATAACATTGTATCAATCGCATCTGCTAGAAAAAATGACAGGATGGATAATGAGAACCTTCAAAACTAGGGAGGCCAAGCCCATGATGACACTCTTCAGGTCACTTGTTCTATCTAGGCTGGAATATTGCTGCACTCTAACAGCACCTTTCAAGGCAGGTGAAATTGCCGACCTAGAAAATGTACAGAGAACTTTCACGGCGCGCATAACGGAGATAAAACACCTCAATTACTGGGAGCGCTTGAGGTTTCTCAAACCTGTATTCCCTGGAACGCAGGAGGGAGAGATACATGATTATATACACCTGGAAAATCCTAGAGGGACTAGTACCGAACTTGCACACGAAAATCACTCACTACGAAAGCAAAAGACTTGGCAGACGATGCACCATCCCCCCAATGAAAAGCAGGGGTGTCACTAGCACGTTAAGAGACCATACAATAAGTGTCAGGGGACCGAGACTGTTCAACTGCCTCCCAGCACACATAAGGGGGATTACCAACAGACCCCTGGCAGTCTTCAAGCTGGCACTGGACAAGCACCTAAAGGCAGTTCCTGATCAGCCGGGCTGTGGCTCGTACGTTGGTTTGCGTGCAGCCAGCAGCAACAGCCTGGTTGATCAGGCGCTGATCCACCAGGAGGCCTGGTCACAGACCGGGCCGCGGGGGCGTTGACCCCCGAAACTCTCTCCAGGTAAACTCCAGGTATGGGCAGTAGCAATAACATGCACCCCCTCTTCCTTATTAGTCCATTAATTCTGTGGCTCCCTGTAATATTACTGTATAAAGGATAGGTATGTGCAGATAATGCTCATACTTGCATATCATTGATAAACCAATAATGTTTTCATTATTATGGATCTTTTTTGTGTTCTGCTTGACAAGATTTATAACTCAGTTGTTCATAAGTTGATGACCTCCTGTATAGGTCTTGTCCTGTTGATTGTATTGAATTTATAATCTAACATCTAACAGCTGACAGTGCAAGCAAAGCGGGTAGCTGAGGAAGCCACAAAGTCGGTTTCGGTAGCCAGTAAACAGGCTATGGAGGCCAGCAAACATGCTCAGCAAGTAAGTTTATGAATCAGTATTCTGTTTATTTATATCACATATTTTGTACTGTAATACTGTATAAGTATTTTTAACCAAATTGTCAAATTAGGCTTTGTGGAATGTACGTGTACTTTTAAAATTCAGATTTTTCTTTCTTGTTGTGGTACAAAAATTAATGTAGTTTACATATAATAAAACACTGGAAGGCAAAAATAGTCACTAACTAGTATGCAAAGCATTTCAGGCAAACTAATCCTATGCTTAAAAACTACTTAAGAATTAGACATACACTATTGGAAGTATGGTAATCTATACCTGTTGTACTGTACATTTTAATTATTAATTTGCTTCATGAAGAAAATGAAAATGTGTATCACCTTATATATCACACTACAAATTAGCAGGCCCTTAACTTAGTATAATAAAAATGTTAAACTTGGGCTTCATTTCTTAACAGCAATGGAAATACCTATTTATTGGAGTGCCTCACACACTGTAGTTGCATTTAAAGGTTTTATGCTTCATTTCTTTTTTAATATAAAAAAGTACCTTATAATTTAAAGAACTTGACACAAAATTACTGAGGCTTGTAAAAATCATTTTGCATATTTTCCTGTAAAAAAGTGATGTGACAAATTTGAATACTGTAGTATAGACATTTGAAGATGTCTTAAAATGATTTTTGTAATGAATATTATATTCTCAAACAAACATTTAAATATATGTACATAAATTATTTGTAAAATGCCACAACATAGTCAGTATTGGTGTTAAGAATCATTGGTTGACTTGAAACCTATTTATATTCTATAATAAAACCATTATCAAGGAGGTTGTAGACCTCGAAGATTTAAGAGTACAGTACCTTGCGCTGTGTAATAGAGCCATCGTTAAGGTCATAGACTTTGAAGACTTGAGTACACTTTGTACTGTAAATTATAACTATCATTAAATAGGTCATAGACCTTAAAGAATTGAGAGCATCTTGTAAGATAAAGAAAAATAATGTTAAGGCATAGTAGTATAAAGATGTTTATTTTTGCTATATATATAATTACAGGTCTCCCTCAACATTCACGTTTTCAACTTTCACGGGCTTCACACGTTCGCGAATTCCCAACCGCCAAATTCCCAGCCACCAAATTCCCAGCCGCCAAATCATATTTAAGTTTCCCGCCACCTGCGAGTCCCTACTACCCTCCCTCCGACCCCCGCAACTGGCAGCCAGCCCTCCCACCACTCAGTGTGGTGAGTGTTTTGTTTGTTCATTATTTGCTATTAAACTACAGTATAAATAATGTAAACCCATTCATAACTGCATATTGGAATGGCTATTCCGACAGGTATTAGACGGTGACATCATGTGTTTGCTCTTGAACACTGCAAAGAATTAAACATTTCTGCTACAGCTAATAATAACAATAGTAATAATAATAATAATAATAATAATAAATATGATACAATTGAAGAAGGAAATTGTTCAAAAATACGAGGGAGTGGTTGGCACATCGTCAGTGTGACTTTGTTTATGCTGGAATGAACATTAGTCTCCCTGCTCTTCCAAACATTTCACAATAATTCATTGTGTTTGGTGCTTGTAGATTGAGTGTGACTGGAGTGGTAGAGGCAGTGATTGAGGCAATGGTATTTAATAACATACATGTTAATAATAATACATGTTATTAATAATATGTACTATTATTATTTATAACATATATGTTATTAAATATATACATGTTAATAATAATACATGTTATTAATAATAACATGTACTATTATTATTTATAACATATATGTTATTAAATACCACTGCCTCAACCGCTGAATTATTGTGAAATGTTTGGAAGAGCAGGGAGACTAATGTTCACTCCAGCATAAACAAAGTCACACTGACGATGTGTCAACCACTCCCTCGTATTTTTGTACAATTTCCTTCTTCAATTATATCGTATTTATTATTATTATTATTATTATTATTTTTTTTTTTTTTTTTTTTTTTTCAACAAGTCGGCCGTCTCCCACCGAGGCAGGGTGACCCAAAAAAGAAAGAAAATCCCCAAAAAGAAAATACTTTCATCATCATTCAACACTTTCACCACACTCGCACATTATCACTGTTTTTGCAGAGGTGCTCAGAATACAACAGTCTAGAAGCATAAACATATAAAGATACACAACATATCCCTCCAAACTGCCAATATCCCAAACCCCTCCTTTAAAGTGCAGGCATTGTACTTCCCATTTCCAGGACTCAAGTCCGACTATATGAAAATAACCGGTTTCCCTGAATCCCTTCACTAAATATTACCCTGCTCACACTCCAACAGATCGTCAGGTCCCAAGTACCATTCGTCTCCATTCACTCCTATCTAACACGCTCACGCACGCTTGCTGGAAGTCCAAGCCCCTTACCCACAAAACCTCCTTTACCCCCTCTCTCCAACCCTTTCGAGGACGACCCCTACCCCGCCTTCCTTCCCCTATAGATTTATATGCTTTCCATGTCATTCTACTGTGATCCATTCTCTCTAAATGACCAAACCACCTCAACAACCCCTCTTCTGCCCTCTGACTAATACTTTTATTAACTCCACACCTTTCCTAATTTCCACACTCCGAATTTTCTGCATAATATTTACACCACACATTGCCCTTAAACAGGACATCTCCGCTGCCTCCAACCGTCTCCTCGCTGCTGCATTTACCACCCAAGCTTCACACCCATATAAGAGTGTTGGTACTACTATACTTTCATACATTCCCTTCTTTGCCTCCATAGATAACGTTTTTTGACTCCACATATACCTCAACGCACCACTCACCTTTTTTCCCTCATCAATTCTATGATTAACCTCATCCTTCATAAATCCATCCGCCGACACGTCAACTCCCAAGTATCTGAAAACATTCACTTCTTCCATACTCCTCCTCCCCAATTTGATATCCAATTTTTCTTTATCTAAATCATTTGACACCCTCATCACCTTACTCTTTTCTATGTTCACTTTCAACTTTCTACCTTTACACACATTCCCAAACTCATCCACTAACCTTTGCAATTTTTCTTTAGAATCTCCCATAAGCACAGTATCATCAGCAAAAAGTAACTGTGTCAATTCCCATTTTGAATTTGATTCCCCATAATTTAATCCCACCCCTCTCCCAAACACCCTAGCATTTACTTCCTTTACAACCCCATCTATAAATATATTAAACAACCATGGTGACATTACACATCCCTGTCTAAGACCTACTTTTACCGGGAAGTAGTCTCCCTCTCTTCTACACACCCTAACCTGAGCCTCACTATCCTCATAAAAACTCTTTACAGCATTTAATAACTTACCACCTATTCCATATACTTGCAACATCTGCCACATTGCTCCTCTATCCACTCTATCATATGCCTTTTCTAAATCCATAAATGCAATAAAAACTTCCCTATCTTTATCTAAATACTGTTCACATATATGCTTCAATGAAAACCCACCTGATCTACACATCCCCTACCCACTCTAAAACCTCCTTGCTCATCCGCAATCCTACATTCTGTCTTACCTCTAATTCTTTCAATTATAACCCTACCGTACACTTTTCCTGGTAATACTCAGTAAGCTTATTCCTCTATAATTTTTTACAGTCTCTTTTGTCCCCTTTCCCTTTATATAAAGGGACTATACATGCTCTCTGCCAATCCCTAGGTACCTTCCCCTCTTTCATACATTTATTAAACAAAAGTACCAACCACTCCAACACTATATCCCCCCCTGCTTTTAACATTTCTGTCATGATCCCATCAGTTCCAGCTGCTTTAACCCCCTTTCATTTACGTAATGCCTCACGTACCTCCCCCACACTTACATTCTGCTCTTTTTTCACTCCTAAAAGATGGTATACCTCCCTGACCAGTGCATGAAATTACTGCCTCTTTTTTCTTCCTTACATTTAAAAGTTCCTCAAAATATTCTCGCCATCTACCCAATACCTCCATCTCCCCATCTACAAACTCCCCTACTCTGTTTTTTAACTGACAAATCCATATTTTCCCTGGGCTTTCTTAACTTGTTTAACTCACTCCAAAATTTTTTCTTATTTTCATTAAAATTTCTTGACAGTGCCTCTCCCACTCTATCATCTGCTCTCCTTTTGCACTCTCTCACCACTCTCTTTACCTTTCTTTTACTCTCCATATACTCTGCTCTTCTTATAACACTTCTGCTTGTAAAAACCTCTCATAAGCTACCTTTTTCTTTTTTATCACACCCTTTACTTCATCATTCCACACATCACTCCTCTTTCCTCCTGCCCCCACCCTCCTATAACCACAAACTTCTCCCCCACATTCTAATAACTGCATTTTTAAAACTATTCCAACCCTCTTCAACCCCCCCACTACTCATCTTTGCACTAGCCCACCTTTCTGCCAATAGTCGCTTATATCTCACCCGAATTCCTCCTCCCTTAGTTTATACACTTTCACTTCCCTCTTACTTGTTGTTGCCACCTTCCTCTTTTCCCATCTACCTCTTACTCTAACTGTAGCTACAACAAAAATAATGATCCGATATATCAGTTGCCCCTCTATAAACATGTACATCCTGGAGCCTACCCATCAACCTTTTTATCCACCAATACATAATCTAATAAACTACTTTCATTACGTGCTAAAATCATACCTTGTATATTTATTTATCCTCTTTTTCATAAAATATGTATTACTTATTACCAAATTTCTTTCTACACATAGCTCAATTAAAGGCTCCCCATTTACATTTACCCCTGGCACCCCAAATTTACCTACTACTCCCTCCATAACATTTTTAACCCACTTTAGCATTAAAATCCCCAACCACCATTACTCTCACACTTGATTCAAAACTCCCCACGCATTCACTCAACATTTCCCAAAATCTCTCTCTCGTCCTCTACACTTCTCTCTTCTCCAGGTGCATACACGCTTATTAAACCCACTTTTCACATCCAATCTTTATTTTACTCCACATAATCCTTGAATTAAT